ATAAGAGTTTAGACAACTTTTTGTTGCTGCTTTTTTTCATAAAAAATTTTAAAATAACTGTTATTTTCGGTCCCTGATTATTAATAATCACTGGCAATAATTGAACACGTACTTGTACTTTGTATGCAGATTTTGTATTTTTGTCTTGACTTCATGACCAGAAAATTTATGTCCGTTTGTTATCAATTGGTCTGCAATTTCTCTGTAAACATGAGAATTTTTACGCTCACTACGCAATTCGGCAACGTTTTTGTCCCACAATTCCAATAAAAGTCTTTCAGCATATTTTGTCCAAACGATGCGACGTTTTCTTTCTTTAGAGCAACTTGGATATTCTGTTAACAGAAATCTTTGTATTATTTTATATTAACTTACATTGTATTAATAAACCTGTTTCATTACTCTCTTCGTCGGCACTCTCCGTTGGCTCACTGCTTTCTGAGTTGTCACTCAAGAATTCATCTATTAAGTATTCCTCTAAAAATTATAAAAATTATTATATTAGCCAAACAAATGAATGTTTATAATTCGTGATTTTAAAAAATTTATTTTACCTTCTAATAGTGCAGTTTGGTTTTTCGAGTTTATAGTTCTTTTATTTTTTATTACTACCTCTCCTTTTAGAAATCTATTAGTAGTATCGGTTACACTTATGAGTTCTTCCTGTTTATCTGTAATTTTTTTTTTCTTTCTGGGTTCAGATCTAAAAGACGGTGACTGAAACTCGTAATCTGAATTATATGGATTGGTATCTTGATAACTGCTTTCTACAAATAATTATGTTGTAACTAAATAGCACAAAGATATATAAAAACATATTTACCTGCGTCTTCTTTCACTGAAGGTACTACGTTTAAAGACTTATAATCTCCAACAATTGAATGCACCTTGGAAAAGTGCACCCAAGTGGATGATGTACCACCAGACAGTCCCATTTTTTTTCTTTCATCACTGCAAAATATTAATAAAATCAATTAATGTAGAACGATCACATTAAAGAATTAAACACTTACAGATATTTGGATTGCACGTTTTGTATTTTTATCTTGACTTCATGACCAGAAAATTTATGACCGCTTTTTTGTTTTAATTGTTCTGCAATTTTTGAATATATGTGAGCATTTTTGCGCACACTACGTAACTCAACAAAATATTTCTCCCACAATTCTAACAAAAATGTTTCCGCATTTTTTGACCACACGATGCGACGTTTTCGTTCCTTAGAACAACTAGGATATTCTACAAAGAATTGCTTTATTTTACAATTTAATGTAAATTAACAAATCTGTTACCTGTTTCATTGCTTTCCTCGTCGGCGTCATCCAAATTATTATGGCCGTATTTTTTTGTAGACGCTAGTTTCACTACACCAACATTATGTGTGGCTGAAGTTATCTCATTACACTCCGAATCGTCACTCATGAATTCTTCCATCAAAAATCCATCTGAAAATAATGAAAGAATTTCCCAAACAATTAAATAGATAATGTAAACATTTTTAAAAAATTTCTTTTTACCTCCACTGTTATTAAAGTAATTTATTGTATTTTCATCCATTTATTCTTCTCTGTTTTAAATGTATTAAATTAATTTATCAAGCGAAATTATAATTTAATGACTCTCTCTATTAATTTGAAATTTACTTTTTAATTTGATTCACCACTTAATTTTTTGTTTGTTTTTATTAACATTTACTTAAATAGTTGCCACACCAAAATATTTTTTGCTTAACAAAATTTTTTTAGATAAAGTCAACTTGTGAATAAAATACCACATATAATAAGTCTGTTCCACGAGCTACTCATAGTAACTTTAAGTAAACACTGTGTATACACAAGCGCGTTCCACCAGCAAATTTTCAAGTATTTTTGTGTAAATTTTACTTCTGTTTTACTCATGTGTTACTATGAGTAGCGTGGAACAGACCTAATATGTTTCTACTACTTATTACTTAGTAAGTCTAAAATTCATTAATCGTACAAAGATTCCATGCTTTTTAACTGACTTAAAAATAAGGTAATAGCACATTCACAGTGTCTCATTTAGACGGTTTTGCTCATTATAGACACTAATAAGAATGATATATACTATGTTCGGACAGCCAAATATCCTTAATTTCGTTAAAATGAAATTAAGTTAATTTGGAAGGAATTTATACTGCCTCAAATTAAGGAAATCGTATGTTTTTTATTTACAAATCGAATGTTAAAAATTATCAACTTGTCTTTTGTCTAAAATTTATCTTTCGGATAGTCGCAAGTTTCCCTTAATTTCTGCATTCGTTTTAATGAAATTAAAGCCATCTTCCTTAATTTTCTTCTTACCTTTTAAACTTAATATTGTATGGAAAAAACAACTTAAATTTACTGAAACAAAGTCAAAATTAAAATTTTTGCGAAATTAAAGTGTGTCTGAACATAGTATTACCATTCAAAGTACTTTTATATAAATGAGATCATTATAATGTAAATGTTTCCTCATTAATATAAATGAGCAAATGTCTATATGAGACAGTGCGAATGTACTATAACAATGCAAAACATTTTGAAAATTTTTTTTTACAAAATAAATTCTTAATTGTTTAGAATATTTATGCCTTAACAATTATAAACTTATTAGGAACTAATAAGTTTAAAAAATTCAGAGTACTTTTTATTTATACTTTCTTTACGTATTACTAAAAAATTTTGTATATTTTTAAAATACATATTTATTGTGCACATAACTTAAAATATATTATTTTCACCATTTTTAAATTTGTAACACCTTTTTAATTTTATTCGAATTTTAGTCTATAAACAACTTTGACTGGAATATTCGTTGAAATTTCTAATTAAAATAGATCGCTTAACACTTTAATAACATTTTTTCTATAGTTTCTAATGCTTCCCGCTGCAATCAAATCAATTTATATTAATCAAATTAAGAGTTTGTCGTTTCCTTTGGCATAAGTTGTTTATGCATGTGAAAAAGCTTTTATAAGTCAGAAAGTTCTGTGAAAATACTAGGAAAGCTTTTTTTTTGTTTACATTTTAATTGCTAGCAAATAATATTTAGTTCTTTATATGTAGAAATTAATTAACTAATTATGGAAAATGTAGAAAATGCAAAAAATGTTATTTATTTATATTTGACATCGTTGACACATCTTCAAATAAGTACACAAAATTTCAAGTAAGTTAAAATAGATTATACCGTTAATCCTAAGAATCTCCTTAGGAATATCGGCCCATTGTGTTACTGTAGAAGGACTCAAAAATTCAAGTAACGTTCTACAAATTTTTCTTTTCTGAAAGTAAGTACTCGAACAAATCTAACATTTTGACTAAGTTTTGATATGAAAATGTGTGGCATCTCTGTTTTTAAATATCAATTTTCTGCTATGAAGAGTGTAAATGTCAAATCTAAAAAAAAACAACGTGATTTCTTTCCATACGCAATACTTCAACTGGTAAATTCTATAAGAATTTTACTGAGATTTTTGTAAATTTTTTATCGTTAAAAAGTTTGCAAAATGGTGCGTCATAATAATCAGCTGCCGCATAATTTGCCTCAGCTACAAAATCTTATTAAACGTGATCCAGAATCTTATAAAAGTGACTTTCAACAGCAGTATCGTCATTTTGAGGCAAGTCTTGAAGTATTTGCTTTGAATCCATGTGAGGAGGACAAATCACTTGATGAACTTGTCATGTTTATAGCACAGGTAAACTATTTGTATGTTAATATACAATAAAGTTTATTTACAATCTCTTTTTAGTGTGCTAAATGCTACCCGGAAATATGTCTCAAATACCCTCAACTTTTAGTTGATATGCTAAAAAATCATGCTACCACATTGGATCCAACTATGCGAAATTGCTTTGTAAAGGCGTTAGTGTTAATGCGTAACAAAAACTTAATATCAGCATTGGATTTATTATCACTATTTTTTCAACTGCTTCGGTGTCCAGATAAACATTTACGAAGCTATCTACAAACTCATATAATAACTGACATAAAAAACATGAATTCTAAACATAGAGATATGAAATTGAATTCGGTAATAGTAATAAAATTTACCATATTATCAATTTAGTAATAATATTATATCTTAGAATTTACAAAACTTTATGTATACAATGCTGAAAGATACTAATCCTAAAGCGGCGAAGATGTCTGTGAATATAATGATTGATCTGTACAAAAAAAATATATGGAATGATGCGAAAACAGTTAATGTTATTGCTACTGTTGGCTGCTTTTCAAAAATAACAAAGGTATTTATTCAAAGGTAGAAATTGAGAGAATAATAATATTCAAAAATTTATAAATTTCAGGTACTTGTCACTTCATTAAAGTTTTTCTTGGGCCATGATGATGACGATAAGAATTCAGATGAATCTGGTAGTGATAATGAAATCGATCTGAAAACTGCCATTATGCAAAATCGTGTTAACAAAAAAACAAAGAAACGCCAAAAGCAATTAGAAGTTATTAAAAAACAAGCAATAAAGGCACAAAAAAAGAAGAAAAATGCACCAGCATTTAATTTTTCAGGCATACATCTCATACATAATCCACAAGGTATGGCCGAAGGTTTATTTAAACAATTACAGGCTGGTAATGAACGTTTTGAAGTAAAACTTATGCATTTAGACGTTATTTCGCGTCTAATCGGCATACATAATTTATTTTTGTTCAGTTTCTATCCCTATATAACGCGTTTCATGCAACCACATCAACGTCAAGTAACGCGTGTTCTACAGTTTGCTGCACAAGCTTCACATGAACTGGTACCTGGTGATATCATAGAACCTATATTGAAAACAATTGCAAACAATTTTATAACAGAACGAAACTCAAGTGATGTTATGGCTATTGGTTTAAATGCTACGCGAGAAATTTGTTTACGTTGTCCACTGGCAATGGGTGAGGATTTATTAAGGGATTTAGCCATGTACAAGACTTATAAAGAGAAATCAGTTATGATGGCGGCACGTTCACTTATAATGCTTTATAGAGAACAATTGCCCGCTTTATTACATAAAAGAGATCGCGGACGCTTAACCGAAGCACAAGCGGAACGAAAACCTCGTGCTTATGGTGAAATTGAAGTACACGAATCTATACCAGGTGCAGAAGTTTTGCTTAAAGCATCCAAAGTAATTGACATGGGTGACGATAATGACTCGGATACAGACTCAAATGATGGACAATGGGTAGATGTGTCGCAAAGTGAAGATGAAGGCGTTCAAGATTCCGAACAAGATGAAGAAACTGATGATGACCAGGAAGAAGAAGATAGTGATAATGATGTCTCTGACAATGATGAAGATGATTCAGATGCAGAAGATGTAAACAAAACAGATAATTCTTTAAATTTAAAAACTACTATTAAACAAGAAAAAGATGAATCCAATGAAATATCTGAAAATATTAAAATCTTAAATGAAAAGGAGGCCGCGCAAGAGTTAGCTTTAACTCGTATTTTTACAGACGAAGACTTTAAAAAAATAAATGCAGCAAATTTGAAAAAAACTGTTACTAATGCACGCAAACGGCCACTTGAAAAAGACCGGTCCGAATTTGTTAAGCTTGATAACATTGAAATGATATATAAGAAACGTAAGCATGACAAGGAGTCCAGATTAGAGACGGTCAAAGCAGGACGTGAGGACAGAGAGAAATTTGGTTGGAAAGATGGACGTAAAAATGAAAATTGTTCAAAAACAAATCGAGAGAAACGAAAGAATAAAAACTTTGTAATGATGCGACATAAGGCTCGTTCAAAAGTGAAGAAAAGTTTCCGAGACAAACAACAAGCATTACGAAAACATTTATTACAACAAAAAAAAATGAAATAAATATAAATATTTAGTTTTTTTTATATGTAAATAAAAAGTTTTTTCCTAATAATTTTTGTTTATTCATTTATAAAATGTTCGTACATATAATATAGATTAATGGTTTAAAAGGAAAAATATTTGTGGTAACACAATTTTTTATAATTGTTTTGTTGCATATATGTATATATATATAATACATAATAAATAACTAAATTTATGTTTTTTACAAACCAATTATATTCATACGTATACCACATAATTATGTACAAAATGAGCATTTATGATTATTTTCTGCGTTTTTCGCTTGATTTTCTCGACCTTTTAGGTCCTTTGACAAAACACCAATCAACTTGAATTCGTTGACCCATTATCTCTGTGGCATTAAGTGCTTCCTTTGCTGCCAAAGCCTGCTTATGTGTCTCATACTCTACTAAAGCGTATCCTTTGGAAAAACCAGTGCGGCGATCTAAATTTAAATGTATATTTTTAATATCACCAAATTCACAGAATTTTTCTTGAATTTCATCTTCTTGTGCTTCTTCGTGTATTGATGTTACAAATAGAATCCAACCCTCAACAGATCGTTGTGGTCCCGGTTCCAGTTCGTCATCATCTTCATGGCGCACGCGATCATAACTGTGAATGGTTTCTCGAACATTGCTTTCATTTCCAAAACCACGACCTTTGCGCGACTTTGCTTTTTCCTTTAAACGCACAATACCTTCTGCAAAATATATATTCATGTTAATTTAATGAATTTTAACACAAATTTTTAAATCATATGAATACTCACGATCGCCATCCTCGTCTACCTCAAACTCTTCAGCGTTATCAATATCTAAAACATCAGCCATATTTTAATTTGCAACTTTTTCGCAAAACCTTTTTTATTAGTATGTCTCAAAATAACACGCAGGTCGCAGAATTATTTAAGTTTATATTTTATAAATTCACAAGCCGCTTGACAACTAACACGAAATGACAAAATGACATGTCGCCCGGAGTGACAGCACCTGCAAGAAACCTTAATGATATAGATAAGCTACATTTGCAGAGTTGGTTCAAAAATATAGAAACAAGAATAATTCTATGTTTTTGTTTTTACTGGGCATTAAGGCTTGATAGACTTTGGAAAGAATTTTCTATTGAATGTAAATTCATATTATATCCAAATATTGTCTGTGAACAAAAATTTTTCAATGTTAATGAAAAAGTGAAAGTCTTGCCGAACTGTAGTAAATATAGACGCAGAGTTAGGGATATATTATGTAGATTGTCTTGGGCACGACAAAATTCTGATATTTATTACTGGACAACATTGCTTGGCACAAGTTGTCGGTGAACAAAAATTTTTCATTGTTAATGAAAAAGTGAAAGTCTTGCCGAACTGTACTAAATATGCACGCAGAGTTAGAGATATATTATGTAGATTGTCTTGGGCACGGCAAAATTCTGGCTTTTATTACTGGACAATATTGCTTAACACAAGTGCCAAGGTACAAATAGCCTGGTTCTCATGCTGAAATTTGAAACAACGTATTATTTTTTCTCTCCCTCTCAATTTTATAATTTGCTATAAAACAGAAACAATTTTACTCATACCGTGCTCGAGACACTCGACATAACATTACCCTTAGTAAAAAAAACCCGCACATCAGTATGTTTACATGATTACTTCGATATATTTGTCTCAAATGTTATTTTTTATAAAAAAATATGCTAATGAGGTTGTATAAATTAATGTAAACATAGTATATGACATAGTATAGTCCATGCTTAAAATTATTTTTATTATATTTGTTTTACATTTTTTATGTAAATAGAACAGAACAGAATTTACATATGACATAAAGCAGGAAAACAGTATGCAAAATGTGTAAAAATAATTATTTACTAATAATTAAATGCAAGAATTATTTCCAAGACCACTGATGATGGGTATTTGGCAATACTCGATATAAATAATATAAAAAATAAAATTTTTGTTGTTGTAGTTCACTACTGTTCGAAAACCCTCTTTGTAAATATTTTTATAAATTTGTTTACTCAGAAACTTGAAGATTATATTATCATCAATAATAGATGCTTTCGGCAACTTTTAGGCAAAAAACAGCAAGTAGTTCGCTTAGCACATAATTGTGAAGTTGCCAAACATTTAAGCATATACAGAAAATATAATTACTTACGCAATAAACGAATTATTGTGAACCTTCGTTGGAAAATTCAATGAATATTTCACTTATATCTCAAAAGTTTGTAAACAAAAATTCAAGCTAAACTAAAAAATTTCACAAATTTGAAAAGTGTGGAAATGATATATTTTAAAAATATGCAAAATTATGGGAAATAAATATTTTAATTATATACATATAAATATATTCAAAAATTTTTAGGAATGTATGAGAAAAGTATAATTGAGAAGTGGTTTAAAATTTTTAACTATTTGTTGCTAACAAGCTAATTCTTATTCAAGCATAAATATTCTAAACTATTATTAATTTTGTTGTAAAAGCAACATTCTGAACATTGCTTTTAGTTCATTACTCATATTAATTTTTAATTTTAGCTTTATTATTTATTTTTATACAAAATGTAATTTGCTTGATCTATGTGCACATATGTAAGATTTGCTCTTTGCGAAAACATAACATTTAACAGATTGCAACAGTGAAGCCAATAATTCGCTTAGGGTCTATAGTAAGCAGCTTGCTGTTTTTTTGCCTCATTTGCGAGCTGTCGAGAGCAGGTCTGTTTCACGAGCTACTCGTAGTAGCTTTGAGTAACACTGTGTATACAGAAGTACGTTTCGCCAACAAATTTTTGAGTGAATGAGATCATCTGAGAGAGCGTAACATCCCTGTCAAAAAAAGCTACACAGACTTCACTCGTACATTTTACTTCAAGTAAATTTTGTGTTAATGTGTGTATCAACTGTTTTGGTTTGAATTTAAATTTTTGTATTGTTTATTTGTACGGCACTGGTGTTCTCACTAGACTTTACACAAAGCTTTTCCATATAAATCTGTGTAAAAGAGTAATTTGGTACTTTATTCGTGTTACGCTATCAATTTATACTTTACTTGTGTTTTACTTCAGTTTTATTACGAATAGCTGGTGGAACAGACCTAATATTAATATATACACATGTATAACAAAAATATCAAATATGAAGATATAAAATACATCATTTTCAATCCATACTGCATATCTTGCTTTAAAAATAAACTATTGACAGCTGTCATTTAGTGTGCTCTCATTTGTACATTGCTTTTTGCAAGTGTGAAACCAAACGTTGCGGTGTAAGTTTTTTCTAATAAATATTAGATTTATGTGTACAGAAGAAAACTGTTTCATTTTTGTTTCAATTGATTGTTGATTTCTGATAAATTGTATTGTGCGAATTTGTAAAACAATATTTAAAACCAAAAATTTTAATCTGAACGAGAACAAGAGTAATTAGGTCACTGTCCGATTTAAATGTTTATATATGTATAATTTCTTAACGTGTTGTGTAAAAATAAAATAATTTATATAAATAACTTTGACCGCGCTTTGATAAACAAATGGCTCTTGTGTATTTGTGAAAACTTTTATAAATAATGTTACTCAAGGTCAAGAACGATTTGATTAGAGTGAATGATTTCAGATAATTAAAGTTTTAAATAATGACGAGCCTCTTCCTGATAATTAAAAACAGCAATAAATAGATAATGCAAATATATTTAGCTTGGCAACATAAAAAATATTTTTTAAAATTAGTTAAAACTTATCTACTAACATTTTATAACAACTTATATAAATTATTAATTTTACTTGGAATTGCTTTAGTACCAAAGAATACTTCAACCCACTCCAGCAATGCCTACTTACTCAGGAAAAAAGGAATTAGACAATAAAATTTCATTATGGCTATGCTGGGATCGCAACAAGAAAACCCATTGCGAAATACAGGAGTTGGTTAACAAGAAGGAATGGTGTACTTTGAAAACGCGTTTGCTGGATCGTTTAACATTCGGCACAGCAGGATTGCGCGGTGTTATGCGTGCTGGGTTTAATTCCATGAATGATCTCGTTATTGTACAAACTGCTCAGGGCTTATGTGAATATATCTTAAAACAATTTCCAAATAGTAAAGATCAGGCTGAACGTGGTATTGTTCTTGGCTATGATGGGCGACATAATAGCAGACGTTTTGCTGAACTATCCGCTAGCGTTTTCTTGCAACGTAATATTAAGGTACGTCTCTATAGTCGAATGGTACCTACACCTTTTGTACCATTTGCTATAATGCAATTACAATGCTTAGCAGGAGTGATGGTAACAGCCTCACATAATCCTAAAGAAGATAACGGTTATAAGGTTTATTGGGAGAACGGCGCGCAAATTATACCGCCACATGACAAGAACATACAACGTTCTATTGAAGAGAATCTAGAACCAAAAGATAGTTCATGGAATACAGATATATTATGTGAACATCCTTTACTCGAAGATCCTTATGAAACTATGAATCGTACATATTTTGAACTTTTGCTGGCAAATATACCCAAAAAATACATGGAAATAAATAAAACTAGCAGAGTAAGAAAATTCGAATTTTTAAAATTTATTATTTCAAGTAATAAAGCTCATTTCTTTTATGTACAGCTATCTTTTGTGTATACAGCAATGCATGGTGTAGGTCATCCTTATGTACAGCAGGGTATGTGCACTGCTAAAATGGGTCATCGTATTGTTTCTGTACCCGAACAAATGGAAGCGGATCCTGAGTTTTCTACTGTTGTTTTTCCAAATCCAGAAGAAGGCAAAAGCGCACTCGATTTATCAATAAAGTTAGCTGACAGGGAAGGCATAACCATTATATTAGCTAACGATCCAGATGCTGATCGTTTGGCATGTGCTGAAAAGAGTAGAACAACTGGAGAATGGAAGGTAAATTCATCAATATACTTTTTATAATAGAAAAATTAAAAAGCATTAAATATGAAAATATTTAAAGGTTTTTAACGGCAATGAATTGGGTGCATTATTAGGCTGGTGGGCACTACAAAACTTCCGATCTCTACATCCAGAAGTATACTCCATAGATAGTTATATGATTGCTAGCACGGTTAGTTCAAAAATCTTAGGCACAATTGCTACCCTTGAGGGCTTTAACTTTGTAGAAACACTTACCGGTTTTAAATGGATGGGAAATAAAGCAAAAGAACTGATGGATGCGAAAAAAAAGGTTTTGTTTGCTTTTGAAGAGGCTATTGGCTTTATGTTCACTACTACTGTACTTGATAAAGATGGAGTTAGCGCTGCTGTGCACTTGGCAACAATGGCTTGTTATCTTAAAGAGAAATTTAATATTTCACTTACTGAGAAACTGAATGAAATTTATGATAAATATGGTTTTCATTGCACCAAAGTTTCTTATTTCCTCTGCTATGAACAACCCGTTATAGAACGTATATTCGAAAGATTGCGTAATTTTCAGGATGGCAAACCAAAAACTTATCCTAAGTCAATACTTAATGGTCGATTTCCAATACAATATGTTCGCGATTTAACTACTGGTGTAGATACATCCCAAAAAGATGGCAGAGCTATTTTACCAGTTAGCAAGAGTACTCAAATGATTACTTTTACATTTGAAAATGGTTTGGTCATCACATTGCGTACCAGTGGAACGGAACCAAAAATTAAATATTATGCTGAATTGATATGTAAACCTGATCAGAAAGATTGGGATGAACGCCGCAAAGTACTGGATATAATGGTAGAAGCTATCGTTGAAGAATTCTATCAACCAAAATTAAATAATCTCACTCCTAAAAAAGATTAAATTTCATCGTAGCAATGTAAGCCTATAGATGATATCATTTTTTACGGATCACTTTATTTATTTTTTTATATCGAAGTCTATTTATTTAGTTAATCAATTTTTTATGAATTTTTTGTATTTGTAACAATATTACGAGCTCGTAAATATTGTTGCAACGTGATACTATTTGTTATCAACATATTA